GGCTGAGGAGGAAGGATCGCCAGAGCCCAGCAGGTCGAGGCTGCGGTGGCCGGGAGCATGACACTGCACTCCAGTCTGGGCCACAGAGTGAGACTCCAACTCAAAAATTAAAAAAACCAAACAAAAACAAAAACAAAAAAAAAGAGAAAAGGACAGTCAGAACCGGGCACAGTGGCTCATGCCTGTAATCCCAGCACTTTGCCAGGCAGGTGCAAGAAGACTGCCTGAGCCCAGGGGTATGAGATCAATCCAGACAACTTGATGAGACCTTGTCTCTACAATAAAAATTTAAAAATTAGCTGGGCGTGGTAGTGCTCTCTTATAGTTCCAGCTACTTGGAAGGCTGAGGCAGAAGGATTGCCTGAGTCCAGCAGGTCAAGACTCTGAAGAAAGAGAGGAAAAGAGAGAGACAGAGAGAGAAAGAGATAAGGAAAGAGAGTGCGAGAGAAAGAGAGAGAGGGAGTTGGGCACGGTGGCTCACGCCCATAATCTTAACACTTTGGGAGGCAGAGGAAAAGATTGTCTGAGTCCATGGGTTAGGCAGCATGGCAAGAACTGGGCTCTACAATAAATTAAAAAAAAAACAAACAGACTGGGCACAGTGGCTCACATCTATAATCCCAGCACTCTGGGACCCGAGGTGAAAGGACTGTCTTGAGCCTATGGGTTCAAGACAAGCCTGGGCAACTTAGTGAGACCTCATCTCTATAATAAATCAAAAAATTAGCCAGGCGTGGTGGTGCACACCTGTAGTTCCAGTTACTTGGAAGGCTGAGGTGAAAGGATCACCTGAGACCAGCAGGTCAAGGCTGTGGTGGCCATGAGCGTGCCACTGTACTCCAGCCTGAGTGACAGAATGAGACTCCGACTAAAAAAATAAAAATAAAAATAAAAAGGGGGGGGTGTGGGAGAGAGAAAGAAAGGAAGGAAAGATGAAACAATCATTATAGCACTGTTTTAATAGCAAAAGGCTGGAAACCTTAAATGTCCACAATGGGGAAATTAAAGTATATTAGGGTACATCTATTCAAGGAAATATAGCCAGTAAAAGAATGTGCAGTCATGGACTGACATTAAACCATCTCTAAGATATATATCAGTTAAGTAAACTGATATATCTTAGCAAGATGTATAATACATGCTATCATTTGTATGAAATTAATGTTAAGACATGTATTTGGACCTGTATTGGCTATCTCTGAAAGGTTCACCTGGAAAGTTATGGTAACACTGCATTATTATTATTATTTTTTTTTAGTTGGAGTCTTACTTCATTGCCCAGGCTGGAGGGCAGTGGCATGCTCACAGTCACTGCAGCCTTGACCTGCTGGGCTCAGGCAATCTTTCCGCCTCAGCCTTCCAAGGTAGCTGGAACTACAGGTGCATGTTACCATGCCCAGCTAATTTTTGGTTTTTTGTAGAGACAAAGTCTCACCATGTTGCCCAGGCTGGTCTTGTCTTGGCCTCTCCCAAAGTGCTGGGATTACAGGCTTGAGCCACCACACCTGGTCAACACTGCTTTTAAAAGGGGCAATAAACTAGGGGACAGAAAAAAAGAAAGAGGTGAGAGAAAACCTTGATTTCTACTATATATCCTTCTTCTATGTACTTTGTTTGAGACAGGGTCCTGCTCTGTTGCCCAGGCTAGAGTAGAGCGGCACAATCATAGCTCACTATAGCCCTGACCTCCTGGGCTCAAGGAATCTTCCCACCTCAGCCTCTCCAGTAGTTGGGACTGCAGGTGTGTGCCACCATGATCCAGCTAATTAAAAAAAAAATTTAGCACTGGGGAAACTCTATGTTACCCAGGCTAGTTTTGAACTCCTGGGCTCAAGCAATCCTCCTGCTCAGCCTCCCAAGTAGCTGGGACTCCAGGCATGAGCCACAGCAACTGGCCTTCTTTTGTACTTTGAATTTTTTACTGTGTGCACTTATCACTAAAAATACACTTCCCGGTTAGGCACAGTGGCTCATGCCTATAATCTTAGCACTTTGGGAGGACGAGGTGAGAACACTGCCTGAGTCCATGGGTTCGAGACCACCCTGGGCAACATGGCGAGACCTCATCTCTACAATAAATTTTTTAAAAAATTAGCTGGGCATGGTGTCACATGATGGTAGTTTCAGCTACTTGGAAGGCTGAGGCAGAAGGATCGCCTGAGCCCAGCGGGTCGAGGCTGCAGTGGCTGTGAGTGTGTCACTGCACTCTAGCCTGAGTGACAGAGTGAGACTCCGACACAAAAAAATAAAAAAATAAAAATAAACTTCCTTCGGGGGGAAACTACACCAATGACTTGCTAAGAGTTTCAGCACCTGTGCAAGATCCTCATGTTGAAGACAGCCCCTTAGAAAACACTGCAGACAAAACAATGGGAGGGACCCAGAGAGCACTGGCAGACCCAGGACCCACAGGCAGACGGACCTACTCTTTCCGCTGATTCTGGGACCAGGTTTAGACAAGTCCATACTTTGGTTAACCAAAGCAAGAACACTGTGTCCTCTGACAACAATGCCAAATTCTCACTTGTGTGTAGTAAATAAGAGATATTTTACCTTTCAGCAAAGGTGTCGAGTTTCCCCAACTCATCGGAGAGGCCAACCAGGGAATCCAAGGTCCCCACCTAGACGGATCATAAAAAAGTCAAAAGCTTGCAGGCTTTCTGGCAAAGCATACCACCATTTCAACAACAGTGCAGGGACTCTTGTCAGCCTGTTTGACTTAGCTGCCCATCACCAATGACTAAACAGGGAAGTGGGAAAAACTCTTGGTAGAAACCAGTGGATTTTGGAGTGTTTGTTGTTGTTGTAGTTGTTTGTTGTTATTTTTCGGCCAATGGGATAAACTGTACTATTTCTGCCAAGGAAGGAGTGGCCATTATGTCACAATATGACTGTAGCTCAGTTTCCTCTGAGAATGTTAGTCCCGTGGCTAATCCCCAGAAAGTAAGTGAAAGAAGTTCTCATGCCTAAAAGCCCTTCCTCGCCAAGAGAGTCTAACCAATCCCTTTCGGTGTTTTTCTTGGCTTTAATTAACCATGGGCGTGCTGGAGAAGAGGGCAGCTCTTCCTCCCACTTCATCATTTGTGGAGGTCCTTTCCAGATTACTTATGATCTGTTTCTTAGTGTGGAAATGACTACAATGTCCAAAATTGCATTGAGAGGTCTTTTCCCAGAATCAGAAAGAAAAGGTTTGCTAAAGAAAAGGTGTGACACCACCAACCAGATATTATGAAGTCACTAGGAAGCGATGACACCTGTCACCTCTACTAAGTGAAGTGGCTTCTTTTCAAGCAACTTGGGCAGGGGCTGTGTCTTTTTTCTTTATCTTTGTGCCTTCTAGAGTCTAGTACGGTGCCCTGCGTGTAGTAAAATGATTGGTGGATGTAGAATGGCCTACCTTCCACAGTATCTCTGTGCTCACTAAATGCTCACTAAATGCCAGCAGGTGGGGGAGCCATAACTACGGCAGCTGATGAGGCAAGGCAGCCTCTTTGGCAGCGGAGCAAACTGAGGTTCAGAGGAGGATTATAGGGCGGTTTACTCCAAGAGGAGGTCATGGGCTATTAGTGCCATTTCGCCAGCCCCTGTACCACGTGGTCAGGAAGCATGCTTTAGTGGAAACTCACAGCCTTAGGAAGCACCAGAAATGGCCCACTCTTTCTGAATTAAAAGGACTGTATGTGTCTCTCTAATGTGTTTCATTTTAATTCTGCCCTCCACTAAAAGAGTCCTCATACACCCAGGCGGGACCCAAACCTCCTTCTACCACTAAATCCCCTTCCTTCCCTTCCATCATGACCAGAGGATCCTGAGTTTCCTCCCTGCCCCCAAGTCAAGAGTACAATCCAGGTTGAAGCCCTCCAAGCCCGCACATATCAACTGTGTTGTCAGTCCTCTTAGATGTTGCAGACAAAACAGGAAGAACCTGAGGACAACTCATGTGTGTGTATGAGGCCCTTCCCACTTGCTGAAGCATCGAGCTGCCACTCACAACCTCCTCCTGTCCACTCTCTCCTGTGGCTCCAAGTCCCCACAATCCATCTGGAGCTCCCTGTAAAGTCCCACAGAGTCCTTCCACTCCCTTGCCCACCCTCAACCTCAGGCTGTCTTCAGTGGTCCTGCCTTTGCCATATTATTTTCTCCGTGGCTTCCTGAATTAGCCATCTCTGACCCCACCTCCCCCTCCACCCCCACCAATCCATCACCTTCCTCCTCCTCCCCAGGAATCTCACCTTGAAGTCAGGAATAGCGAACTTGGTATTAAAAGACAGGTTGGACTTGGCGGTTACAGTATTCATCCTCTCCAGAGCTTGTAAATTTTCTTTGTCGCCAGGGGCAGAAATTAACCAAAACTCCGACATGATTCCAGTCTTCTCTCATCCAGTGACTGCCTAGAACTAACACAAACAAACACAAACAGAAACAGGAGGAGAGATGTGTCGGATGTCCCTGCTTCACCAGTCCCTGCCCTCAGAATTAATCCTTTCTAGGGTCCAGCACTGCTCTCTCTCCCCATTTCTTCCTCTTTGACCTTCCACTCCAGGTTCTAGAACTCTAAGGACACCCATTTGCACATAGCAACTTGCTCATCGCCACCTGGAAAGCCCTCGGGTTGGATCTTTGCGAGACTCCAAAGGTCCTTCATTCTTGGGTGGTTCTGACCGGTTTTAAGGAGCAGAGGAGAGGTTCCTTTACCCTCCCTGCTCCAGTGAACAACCACTACCTGCCATCACAACATGGGGGGAGGGGGGACAGTAAGCTGGACTCCGATGCTTTCCGGGAGGAGACTTTTCTTCCTCCCACATTGCATCTTCTGGGATGCAGGACGGGGTGGAAGGAGGAGAGAGACAAGAAAGCGACCGTAACCACAGGTCACCAGGTCAAACCTCAGATCTTAACTGGTCAACCTTGAGACTAGTATTCGCTTTAAAGCGCGACTTTAGAAGGGCCAAGTGGGGGCTGGGGGCAGCTACTAAATCCCGTTACCAGAGGTGAGATGCAGGCTCAGCAGAGCTGGGTGACTTGACGGGCCTGACCGGTGGTGTCGGAGCCACTGACACCGGCTCTTTCTGCTCATCCGACGCGCCCAGGCCCACTCCATGCCCCCTCGGCCGGGTTCTCCCTCCCGGTGGCCTCCCCAGGGCGTCTGGATAATAATCTCTGCAGAGCGCCAGACCCCTCGTGGGAGTTTTTTCTGTCTGACGCCCCGTCCCACTCCAATCCGAGGTCACCCTAGTCCCCTCCTATCCCTGCGCGGACCCGGGGCAACTCCTTTCCGTCTTGATTGCCTGTAGCCTGGGGACAAACTGGCCCAGCGCGGCACCTGGGGAGATGCGTCCTGCCCGGCGGGGGAGAGCGCGGCGGAGGCGCAGGGTTCCCACGCTTCCACGGCGAACGCGCGGACCCGGGCGCAGCCAGGACCGAAGGGAGGCAGGTCGCCTGGCGCGGTCTCCTCGCCCCAGCCCCGTCCCCGCCTCGGGTGTCCTCTCCGCCGCGCGTCCTTACCGGGAGAAGGCGGGGCG